AGCTTTGGGGGTCAGGGGGGCTCACACTCTCAGACGGAATTTTCAAGTCCAGCTGGGGAGGATCCCTGCTGGGTCTGGGAGATGTCCAGGGTGGGTACAGGGGGTCAGTGAGGGCAKCCTGGAGTCCAGGCTGGCAGCCTTGGCATCATAAAGCACAAAATTCTCAGTGCTGTRCTTCCAGTGTAGGTCCTGTGCCCTCGAAATCCCTCCCAACATTCCCAGAAAGGGCAGGGCTTGACTGGGAACCCCACCTGGATAGACTGACTCTATAAAGAGCATCTTCACCAAGTGGGTTTGGTACAAGGTGGGATGCAGAGGGCAGAGCAGGAGCTTCCCCTGCCCAGGGAATGGAGAGGGACAAAGAGACCCAGTCCTTGGTGCCCACACAGAGTCACGGGGGTCACGRCGTGCTCTGCCACAGGCCCCTGGCATCACCCTTGCCATGACATGATGAGTTYCCCATGATGTCCCAGGGAGCATTTCCCCTTTCCCCACCTCTCTCTTCTCTGTGCCAGCTCACAGCCTGTGGTTCCTCGGGTGTTTTCCAGCCCAGCTGCTGCTCACAAGGCTCCACGAGCTCGTGATCCCGGGATTTCCTCGCTGACCCTCAGGCCCAATGCCATGGCAGGGCTGCAGGGAAGGGCTTCTCTGCTCCCACTCTCTCCCAAACACATCTCATGTGTCTGTGGGGACACTCAGAGCCTCCCCAGTGTCCCCTTCACCATGATGTCCCCATGGTGGGTACTGGGGCTGCAGGAGGGTCTCCAGGGCAGTGCCAGGGACCTCGCTGGAATGGGAAAGAGCCCACGGCTTTTCCAATTCATCCTCTCAGGAGCCATCTGGGTGGTGTCCTGGGGACCCTGGGGACCCTGAAGACTCTTCATGAGCACGAGCTGGAGCTGAACCAAGTGCCTGACACCACGGGGTTGTCACAGACACGTGGTTGTGTCATTTTGSAGTAGCACAGCAATGTGCTGGAGGTACTCAGGCTTTGCAAGGMACAAAAKCTCAGCTGGAATTTGCCAAGGRACATCTCACTGTCAGAGATGGGGAYGTGGATTGTTTATTGTTACTCCCATATTGCATTCCAGAGCTTCAGTCAGACTGGTGGCCTGGCTCATTGGTGTGTGCATTGCTTGTGCCCCAGATCCATGCAGGGTGCAGAGAAAGGCAGTGGGTCTCACCATCATCTCCTCAGCACTGCCCCAAGGCTGATCCCGGGGCTGGGATTTCTCTTTCCAAGGACCAGTGCCTGCAGAAAGTCTGTGCCCCCATCTGCCTTGTCATCTGGCCCCACAAAGGGCTCCAAAAAGCAGCTCCTGTGCGATGCCACATYCCAGCTGCATTTGATGGTGACAGCAACCCCCCTTCCATCAGAGACAGATGCTGTCCTGCCTTGGGATATGTCAATGAACTTGTTTGGTGTTCCCAGACCTGCTGGCAGACGAAGGAACTGTTACTGCCASTGACATAATATGTGACAGGGCCAGATTAAGATCTAAGAAACCACAGAAAGATGCTGATGCTCCCCCAACCGCAAGCAGCCGGAACTCGCGGCTGGTAAAGACAACCGAAACCATGACATCTGTTTATGGTTCTGACAGCGCAGAGTGACGGCGCCTCAGCCCAGCACAGCTCCCCTGCCCTGCTCCTGCCATGCCCAAGGGCTGGCACAATCCTGTAGGATTATCACACAGCACACCCTCGCCCCTCGCTCGGGGGCTTTGCTCCGTGTAGGGTTTTTGAAGGTGCATTCTGCAGCCCTGGCCCCCACAGCAGAGATGCCAGCAGGTTGTATAAATGCCAGGTCATTTGTCGTGGCTCCACCCTTGCTCCAGGCCACTTCTTGCGGAAAGGGACCCTCCCCTCCATTCTTCTCCTCGGCATTCCCCAAAGCTGCCTCTTTTTGCCTTCTCCCTGCAGGGCAGCTCYCCAAGGAAAGGTGTTGGGAGAGGCAGCGGCTGAGATCCACCAGGCACTGCAGAGAAACCTGGGAAGAGATCGTGGCACCAGAGGGAGGGGGGCGGGATGCSCAAAATCTCACTGAGATCCCAGACCAGGTGAGGGACGGGTTGTGGGGGCGACAGTAGTGAAGTGTGGCCTCAGATAGAGACGGGAACTGCACTGGCCACTTTTTGGGAGCTGCATGGGATAAGACAAGGCACAGGGAAGTCTTCCCAGTCTGTGTGCATCGATGCCTGAAAACCGGAGAGATTTTCGCTCTGTCCATTTGCTTCCCCTCCCAACCACGCGCGAGCATCCAAGGAGCACCGGGCCCTCTGCTGTCCTCCGCGG